TCAGGCAAGATGGAACCCGAGCTTTCTACTTCCTGATAGGTAGTTTTTTTTATTTAGTACATAGAAATTACCTTTACCCTTCAATAAATACAAGAAGCACTCCTCAGTAGCGGATGATCAATGAGTACCAATGGGTTGAGTTTACTTTTTTTTGCAGAAGAGTTGGAGAAACTATTCGATGCGGCTAGCTGGAAATGCGTTCATAAAGAATATCTGCACAGGCAAACGGTCAATCATCAGAAGCAACTGAGTGTACCGAGGGTATTCGTGCAGGCACGATTTGTAAAACTTTAATTCCTTGTTTCCTTTCATTTACTACTGTGTCGCATCTGTCTGTTGTTACCTCGGCAGAAAGAAAGGAAGGATACCCATAATACTTCGGTCACCAGAGGTGGATCAAAGGAGTGACCTAAAAACATCCTCTTCTTAACGTCACCCTTATGGAGGTTGAGAATATTTATTATATGAAGCAATTAAACTTGTTCATGTGTAATTCGTTTTATATGTTGTAATCCGTGGTAGTCATAGGGAAAATTCGACGAAATTGCAAGTTTCTATGCCTGGACCGTATACTGGATGTTGTTCCTTCGATATTCTCAAAGATCTCCTTCAGACTTGTTCCGCCGCTGTCGCGAGCTTCTATAGTCAGTTGGAGATCCTGATAATTGGTTGACTTCTTGACAAATTCCCTCAAAGACCACTACTACCGACGTGCCCTACCCATCCGACCTTTTGTGAAAGATGGTGTGACTTGGAATTTATCGGTCTTCAGTAGTCTTCCGCAGTTATCTCACATTTTTCTTCAAAGAGCTTGCCTACTGCTCAATGAGAGCTGTAGAGTTGGCTGTTCGTTGCGCTGATTTCCGCAGCTGGCAATTTATATTTCGTATATACACAGATATATACATTCAGTTGCTTCACTTATCAAAAAATCTGTTTTCCGGCAAAGCAAAACTTTCAGCTCAAGAATGTATTGCCTAAATCAGGTATAAATTCACCACACTCAAAAATCTACTGTATCTAAGAAAAAGGAAATCTCCTTGCGG